CTCGGCTGCCATTTTCATCATCCTGGAAGGAGAAAAAGACAGAAAAATGTCATTCAATCTTTACAAAATCAATCATGCAGTTACTGGATTCAGTGTTTTATTAACCACAGACGCACATAAGCTGGCATAAATGCATCTGCTGAAGGCCACTAAAAAACAAGTAAGATGCTAAGTCTAACAATTTTGAATGACATCACAGTTTGGATTTTTTCTCCAAGATATCGTATCACATTAGTATCATGACAGGGAATTAAGAAAGATGTTTCAAACACACCTAACTGGTGTATTATGGTTTGAAGTGGATGAAACAGGCTGGCCAGTAGGACCTAAAGAATGCAGCGTGCTGCCTTTGCTAACTGGGGATATCAGTAAAAGTCTCAGCCAGCTCTCACACACAAGGTAATGTAAAACATCTGGAATCGGAAGTCATGAGCAGATTTCCTGTTGCTTAAATTGTAAAAAAAAAAAAAAAAGTATGTTCCGTAAATCCTCTAATACAGGCCCGGGCCTGTATTTGACGCAAGCTCATCAAGCTCCAGGCCTTTATTGGAAGGAGGACCAGAATTAGAGGCAGGCCTCTATTTCTATTTGAGCAAAATGAACTAATGGTTCGCTGGAGTTTTTGACAATTAAAATTGCGCCCACATTTTCAAAGTTAAACACATTTCTTTTAACAACGGTAGTTTCTGCTTCAGCCCTCTCCCCCCTCCCCCTGCTTCAGCCGTCTCCCCCCTCCCCCTGCTTCAGCCCTCTCCCCCCTCCCCCTGCGCAGCGGCTGCAAACTCACTGATGCGCCTGCAGCCTCTCGGAGTTCCTGCTGCTCTAAACATTAAAATAATTATTTCATTTTCTGTTCCTCACTTCTGATTACCTTCAATGGTGTCTGTTTGTTGCAACAGCAGGTACGAAAACTAACTTGTTTTTATTTGACTATTTTTCTGTCCTGCCTAGGGATGGGCACCGAATTCGGTACTTTTTAAGGTACCGACCGAATTCCATAGTACCGACCGAGCACCAATTCACGTCATTTCAAACGGTGCCTCGTTTCGGTACCCGTCCATCATAACGAGAACTTGCCAAGACAGCTGCGCATGCGCAAGAGCGTTTTGTCGTCGCTTGCTGTGAACCAGTTGTAAACAGAGCAGCATGGTAGAAAGAACGCACGCTAAAGCTTGGGTCCACTTCACTAAATGTGATGGGTAACTGGGTGATGATGAAACCAGCGACAACTATCTAAGTGAGACATCCTCATCTTAATCTGCTCCGGTAGGTAAATATAATTAGCTTGATATGTTAGCTTCCGTTTCGCTAATGGTGCGTTCGCTTTCTCCTCGGAACTCCGAATTTCTGACTAGAACAACACGAACGCGCTCTAAAGTTTGGCTTCACTTTACTAAATGTGACGGGTGAAGACGAAACCAGTGACGATCTAAGTGTGAGGCATCGTTTTAATCTGCTCCAGCAGCTAAATAAACGGTTTAAGATATCGTTAGCTTGATATGTTAGCTTCCATTGCTACCATTGTTATCAGCTAATGGTGCGTTCGCTTTCTCCTCGGAAATTCTATCTTCCCAGTAGGAAAAATCAAATGAAAAAAGATGGCAAAAGGAATGAAGATACACAGTAAATTTAGTTCACAGTAAAGATGTTTGCTTCAGTTTAATTATAAGCTTATAAAACTACAAGGACGATGTTAAAATACAAACAGTTGTATGTTATTTATCGTGATATTTATCAAATATTGTTATATATTGAGAAAAATATATATTTAATTATAAAAGAGAATTAAAATAATAAACACTCAAAAGTATCGAAAATTGGTACCGTTAAGTACCGGTATCGATTCGTAGGTACCGGTAATTAGTACCGGATCGATTCAAATGTCAAAGGTACCCATCCCTAGTCCTGCCTGTTTATTATCTTCCTGCATCTCCTCTCAGTCCTAAAGAAAAACTGCTACCTGGGTTCATATCTATTCACCTTATGAGTTACCTTTGAACTGCAGTTCTAAAAGATCTACCGACCGCAAAAACAGCGGAGTGCTCGCCGGCCACATCAATTACGTCACCGAGGACAAAACAGGTGATGCACCCTGATCCACAGCAGCGAAACGCATCAGGCACAAATAAAAGAATAAAAGACAGAAAACATAAAAGGAAATGAGCCGACATGAACGATCGCGTGTTAAATTAGTTTTTGAGGTGGCGACACCTGATTTGATGTTACTGTGGCCGTGCTCAGGACGCAGATGTCTGGAGCGCGCCAACAATCAGAGCTTTGCATCTGCAAGCTGGTTAAGGTTAGGATGGGGGTGAGGGGAAGGTTAAATTGCAAGAGGGTAAACGTCACAATTTGGTTAAATGTCCGTTTTACGGCGGGTGTCAGTACCGACGCTCTGGCACAGCGCGTTGCCCCCCCCCCCCCCCCCCCATGCGCAGGAGCTTGTCACCTGCTGACAGCATGCTGCTGTCTTTTCCGTGGACTGCATCTTGCCTGTCATTATCACGTGACAGCGACTAGTCGATGACAGGCATAAAAAGTCACTATAGAGAGGTGAAGTCGACTAGTGACTAGTTCATACAACCCCTGCTACTGCTCCCCAGTGTTCTGCAGCGCACGTTCTCTTTGAACTTGATATCAAATTTTCACCTCCTCTTCGTCTCCGCACAGTTAAAGTTACCCTCGCGGTCTATCACTGGCAAATCAAAAGTGAGACGATGACACAACCGCCCCCCTGTGGCACTTGCTTGTTACCGCACTCCACCCGGCAACAATAAAAAACCGGCCACCTCCGCCGACACCGGTCAAAGTATGATACCAGGCAGTTAATTAAATACAGGCTAACATTAGAGGATTTACGGTAATTACTTATGTGGCCGAGGTAAACAGAACAAAAAATAAATGACAGACATTTTTGGATGCACTCTGCCATCTTTTTTCATGCCTGAAATCATGTGAACTGCTGAAATCACGTGCGGTCTTGCAATTCTCATGTGATTTTGTGACCTTGTGGGACCAGCTGTGAGGAACGCATTCGCTACCAATTTGAGACTGAAATGTTCCCAATATCCTCAAATACTCTTTAACCAAGAACCCTAACGTACAAACAACTTTATGTCCTTTCACCCTTGTTTGTTGAGCTTTTACATTAAATTAAATAATTCAGGTAAATTGCATATTTTAGCAAACAGCAATGCAAATTTACTGCTTACAATAAACCAGCACTCATGGAGCAATCACTAAGGAACAAAATGGCACAAACTGGAGTGAAAAGTCAAACAAACATCTTAGTGATACCCAAGAAGACCTCTGGGAGATCCGTCTATCCCTTTGGTTACACAAATGTCTGAACACCCTATCCGTCCTGTCACAGTTTTTATTTCAACATGCAGAACTGAAGCCAAAAGCTATAAACAGGACGAACAACACTAACTTTGTAGGAAATCAAACAAACAAGGTTAACCAAATAGGCTTCAGAAAAAAGTCAACCCAACTTCTCTTGAATTATCGCTCACAAACACTAATACTAGTGAGGGTTTGATAAGACTCCAGATTAAAAGCAACAGTGGGTTCGTCTCTGAAGGGAATCTAGTTTTATGGAGCCGAAGCTCTTTATCCTGAGTTAGGCTGTGCCCATTCGGATCTGGAAGTGCTGCAACACCAAGATAAACAGCCAAGAGCAGAACGAAGAGCTGGCAGGGTTCCCTGGTATGCTGCAGGTCAGAAAACAACACTCTACAGCCCCATTCATTACATTTTTCACATTTTAATCACTGTTTTCACTAAACTCTAAACACTTATTCATAACACCTCTTTGCATACAACTCCCTGTTATCCTGGTGAGTCCTGTGCATCTGCCGCAATGCAGAGGATTTCATAAAGGAAAGATATGAAGTAGGAATACTGGATGAAGGGGAAAATGCTTCCTTTCACCTCACAACTTCACAGAAAGGAAAATAAAGAACTTCAAAAGGATTAAAGCTTCAAGGGGATTGGAAATCTTTCTTTTTGTTTGTACAGTTTAAACAGCAGCGGCACTAAAAAGCCGCAGTAGTTTGTGCCTGCTCTGAGTTTTTCATTTGAGGGGTTTGGAAAATAACTCTACACCTTTTTACTACCTTTTCATGCTGACATCAGAATCAGACGGGGGCTGCATAGCTCTGAGAAATGCTGACACATGCTAATGCTGTGTGGTTGTCAAAATGGCTGTCTGAGCTGACACACAGTTTATAAATCCCCTCCCCTTGTGGCATCACAGCAGTAAAAGATGACGTTCAGTCACCTTCAAAGAGTTGTGGACGGCGGACTCAGGAGGGTAGACGATGAAGTGTCGCAGCGTGAAGCCAAAGCCCTGGGAGGTCCTCCGTAGGTGAAGTGTCTTCGGACCCGGCCAGGAAAAAGGCTCCTCCTCTCCTCCAGGAGAAACGGTGGCCGACGTCTCACTCTGATCGCGCCCATCCTTCTGCTTGGACTGAAAAAAAGACAACAAATAAATAAATTAAATTAAATACAACAAAAGGATTTCAACCTGTAAGTTTACAAACTAGAGAAACATTTTTAAACCTGATTTTTCACCTTCAGCTATTTTAGTGGCTCGTTTGTGATTTCTGTACACTAGCGATGGTCAAAAACGCCAAGTTTCTGCCAGGGTTGTTTTGAAGGAAAGATGGCGGCGGCTCAGGAACAACATTCACTTGAAACGTTGTTTTGGATAAACTGGAAATTTTAGACTTTGAGACATGAACAGGTACTTTGTCTTCCTCCACTTCTTCGACGGTGTATGGCGATCTGCCCCATTGAAGGATTTTCTTTGCTATGAATACGTCATGTTGTTTGTTGCTCTGATTGTTCCAAATGCGTGCAGAGACAGTTGTGTCTTTACGACAGAGCTCTGTCTACGGGCCATTGCTTATTTACATGTACGGGATGGTTTGCCAGGTTAGTAAATGAGTGCTGTGAGCAGTCAAACCCTTACTTGTTAAATGTGGAAAAATGGAAGAAAAATATGTACGTAATATTGGTCTTTTCATGTTCCATCCACTTTTTGAGTTTGAAGCCGTTTGAGGACGATGGCGGTATCCTCTAGTCTGGGCTAGCTTGGACTAGCTGTTAGCTAATGAGTCCCATGAGACATAATAAACAGAGGCTAGTCAGGAAGCCATTTACAATAAATAAGACAATGACTTCAAACTTTTTACACGTAAAAAGCACCACATGATGGCGGAAAAATCTCTGTTGAGGCACTACATCATTTCACAGATATTTCACTGTTATAGTGAGCCCAAGTCACTTCCGCATCACGGGTCCCTGGAAGAACGAGAAAATGAATGCTAGTCAACGGGGCTAAAACTCTATTTTCTAATCCATTTCGCCTCACGCCCTGGATCTCACATATGTTGTACTGCAATTTAAATGAAATTGATGGATGTTTCGACCACGCCAGTCACGTAGTTTCAGATTTATTAGATTGTAAAAGTTAGGAATCAGCATGACTACAAACTAGAAATCGGCATGTCGTATATGTGACGTCACCACATTATCTCCTCTCCTCTAGCGTAGCTGCTACTTACCAAATGACCAGATTTATAGTGGTTCTTATCTCCTGTGGGAAGTTTGTTGAACTTACTCCTTTTCCCTCGGTTGTCTCCGTGTCTGGATCGCAGAGGTGGAAAGAGTACTAAAATTTCCTACTTAATTATGAGTACCAATACTTAAATTTTTACTCAAGTACAAGTAAAAGTACTTGCCTAAATTTTTACTCAAGTAAAAGTAAAAAAGTATTGTAAATAAAATGTACTCAAAGTAAAAGTTACTTAGTTACATTTTTGTCTGCGTAAAGATGGTTACATCAGTGAAAAATCACAACACCAGTTCACAACACGCTCGTGTGTAGGCTTGTACGTTTCAATTGTGATTAAAATTATTCTTTATTTTGAAAAAAGAAAAAAAGTTCATTTTTAGATGCTAGCAGCATGTGAGCTATCAGTGGTTTCATGAAAAACTCTAACATGAGACTGTGCTCTAACCTGTCACATAACAAGCTAAATGAAAGTCAAACATTTCAGATGGACCGTATGACAGCCGCTAACGTTGGCCCTGTCCTACTTTACCTCTACATTAGGGCTGCAACAAACGATTATTTGGATAATCTATTAATCGGATGGGGTCTCGACACGATTAATCGATTAATCGGATTACATGGGGAAATTTTTAAAAACTGCTAGGGAAATGTTATTTCTCTCCTTCCTTCACTTTATTTAACACAACATTATTAGAAAACAGTTCAATAGCAGAAAAACAACATGCCATCACCTAAATTGTCTTATAAGGTGTATAGACAGAGACCCTAAGCTACATCTATCTGTGACCTAAAATGCTTGGTCCAAGTTAAACAGCTTAAGGGCAATTCTCATGTGTTTTGTTTGATCTCATCTGTTGACATTTATTTTAAATGTAATTAAACATAGGCTGTGAATTAATCAAAATTGATCACTATTTCCAAAAATGACTGAAAAAATACCAAATAAAGCAAAAGCAAATGAATGCCATCCTCCTTGCGATGATGCCCTGGGCAACTGCCATAAAGTCACATCAAGAAATGTTGCTGATCATTCCAATGATCCCAAATAGACTCACATTAGGCCACATGAAAGCAACTGAACCCAAAAATATATTAACCAGTATATAACTGCACTCTCACACAACACGCCTGCAGCAACAGTTAGGACTCCTCCCTCCCTTTTAAAAGCGTTTTTGCTTCTGAGGACATTGTGGTTGTAAAACCACACGCTAGTAGTCTGGCCCCGGTGTGATCAACCAGTTTCTGTGGGAATGTGACGGCGGAACCAGGGCCAGATTAACACTTTGTTGTACCCTGGGCAACAATATTCAAGGGCTCCATCATCACGACCCAAGGATCACCATAATGTGGTCACATACAGAATATTTTACTGTAATATGCAGTAAATATACTCAATACTTGAATGCCTGACAACACGTAACCTGCCCAGAGTAACCTTTGACCCACCTCGTGTGGACTGACCAATGAGGAGAGGGTCTTAACTTGAGGCCCTCTCTTCATTGGTCAGTCTGCATGAGACTGACTCTCAACTGACGTTCAGTCATAGGCAGCGAAGCGTCTCTGTGCAGCGCAAAAGCCCAGGTGGACAGTTTGTTTAATGTAGGGTGATCATATTTAATATAGGGTGACCATATTTCCATTTCCAAACAAGAGGACAGGGGATCTGTGCCTATGACGTCACACTATGGCAACGCCACACAAACCATGTTGGGACCCATTTTTTGTAAGAACTAAATTAATATCAGATTCTGCCAATTAAAGGGCTCTAAAACAATTCATATGTAAATATTTTGCATATTTAATGCAAAATCTAATTTTTCTGCTTTAATGCTGCAACAAGGTTTTATTAATAATAAATTATTATACCTTTTGTTTTACTACAGCATCGGTAAGCTTCCTGTGCACAGATTATTAAGGATGCTTGTTTCAGATGTGAGATTAGACGATAGGATCAATGAAAAAATAAGTTGTCACACACTCCATGGAAACTTTCAGAGAATCCACAAATGGTGGCTTTCAAATGGTTTTGTTACTTTTAAAAAGTTTAGAAAAGCAGCAGATGAGACAGCATGTCTGATAATTTAGTTTTTCATCTGATAATATTAGAACATGTCAGTCATGTCTGAGGGGCTTTTATAAACACTGTATAACTAACACTACTGGAGAGGGTTTTGATTACACAGAGGCTTCTGGGGAGCCCATTTATGGGGGGTGGGGGGGGCATTTTGCTTTGGCCCCCAAAATGTCTTGAAACGGCCCTGGGTGTGTGACTGAGTTTTGAAGGTGCTCTGAATTGTATCAGATGTATAATTATTACATGTGTATAACTTATTGTTTTTTACTGGTAAAAACGTGTAGTGGAGATAAATCTACCTACATTTTACTTTTCAACACTTTGTTTTGTTTTCTTGTTTTTATTTAACTATTTTCCTGTCCTGTCCTGTCTGTCTCTCATCTTCCTGCATCTCCTCTAAATTCTCCAGAAAATCTGTTGCCTGGATTCTTACCTTTTCACCTCATCAGTTACTTTTGAGCAGATCAAAGAGATCTCCTGACCACACAGCGGAGAGCGCGTTTTCGATGCTGCGTGAGGTGACAGCACAGGTGATGAGCTCCGCAGTAGCACGCTTCAGGCACAAATAAGACAAAATAGAGAACATGTGCGGACATGAACGATCGTGTGCTAATTATAGTTTTTTGGTTGAACCACTTTGAGAATGGACCGTGCGCTGGAAGCAGCTGCCTGGATCGCTGCACAACAATGCCGAACCGGTTCGCAGCAGCACAAGTCTGCCGGCTCTCCCTCGCGCCGATCTGCCGGTACCGGCTCTCTCTCGCGCTGATCTGCCGGCTCTCCCTCGCGCTGATCTGCGGCTCTCCCTCGCGCTGATCTGACTTGCTCTGGTCTGCGCGCAATGGCGGGCGGGAAGGGGGGGCGCTTTTGGAAGAGTTGTGCGACACAACGAATCGATGACGCAATTCGTTGCCAACGCTTTTAGTAATCGATTTTCATCGAATTTATCGATTCGTTGTTGCAGCCCTACTCTACATTACAGTTCCTTTATCCATGTCCATCCTAGAGCTCCTCTCTGACATTCATGCTTATTTAGAGCAGCTGATTTTTAAAGTTAGCAGAGTTCATCCTTGGTAGTGGGTTCACTCACTCATTTAACCCTTCACCACTGAAATCAGTTTGTTCATTCCAATCCTCCTAAATAATCCTCCAATCATCCAACTGGAATCCTTAAGGGTCCCGTAACGTCCATCCTGTCAGAATAAGTCTTGGGAGCCCAGGTGTTACTAGAACTAATGGTGTCTCCTCACCAGCGTGAGCCTCCAAACTGTGAAGGTTGGTCTCCAAACATGAACTTTAAATTCGTGCATTTATCTCCTCTTGTAATGTTTTAAAAGGCTTGTATCATGATAAGTTACACCTCCCAGACCAAAGATAGGTCCAATATAAGATAAAATATTATCATAAACACTGCAGAGACATCATTGTTTATTAAATATAAGTTATTTTCCTGAGCTGTTACTTAAGCCAAGAAATAAGATGCGTGGATTCGATGAAACCACGCTGTCTCATGCAGTCCTACACACACACGCACGCACGCACACACACACCCACACGCATGCACGCACCCACCCACCCACCCACACACACACACACACACACACACGCACACACACACACACACACACAAACACACACTGCAGCATGTTAGAATTTTTTGAATAACTAATTTAACTACATTAAATTGCTTTAGTAATAATTTAATCTCTTATTCTGGAGTAAAATAAAGAAACAAGCTAAATCATCACATATCTGTGGCATCAAGGAGCATCTTCTGAGTTCAAACACAGGGATGGAGCACAATGTTTACAACTGAAACAGTATTAGGATGTTTTAACTCACCGAGACCTGCAGGTCTTCTGTTTTATGAGCAAAGCGCTGAGAATCCGCTTGTTATGAGCGCTAAACGTTATTTCACCGCAGCCGCGTGGAGCGGTAGAGAAACACATTTGAAACACGGAACCGAGTCTGGCTACCGAACCGAGTGGAATTGTGATGACTTCACACCGGTATGCAAAGTTGCGGGTTCAAACCCACAGGAGAGGAGGGAGAGAGGAGGTGAACAGGGAGTGGATCACAGGGACTGAACTGATGTTTTGGAGCAGAAGTGTACACCCACACACCCCGCGGTTCAGACGTGGCGCTCATGCAGGTGTCTCTTTCTGTTCCGACGCTGCTACATGCAATATTTTTAACCTATTAAGCCTATAATTTGTTTTTACTCAGTAACGGATATGATTTAAAATGTAACGAATTACAATTCTTTTTTAAAAACGTACTCAAGTTAATGTTAAAGTACAGCTTTTAAAAACGACTTAAAAAGTATAAATATACAAAAAAGCTAATCAATTACAGTAAAAAAATAGTAAATGCAATTTGTTACTTTCCACATCTGCTGGTTCGATAACGTGAAGTGCATTTGTAGTCCTGGACTTATTTTCACACAAAAACTAAAATAGTGTTCCCCCTAGGGCTGCACAATATATCGAAAAATTATCGTCATCGCGATAACAGGACGTGCGATAGGCCCTTCGCAAAGCACGTCAAAAACGGCGATAAATGTTTGGGTCAAACATTTCCATCCGTGTCATACATCAAATTTTTGTAAACCAGTTCTGTTTTTTACGCGGAAGTATTATTTGACCAATCAAATGTAGCCTTTCTGATATGCGGCCAATCAGATGGTTCAGTTCACGTAATACGCCCGCCCCTTACGTAGACCCTTACCCCAAAATTCCACTATCTCCGCTCCGCCCCCGCTTTCCGCTGCCGCTCGCTTCCCTTGTTCGTCATGCTGGCTCAGATTAACGAACGCACTTTGTGCTGAGGTTTCTGGAATCAGCGCTGCTTTCAAACGTGAACGTGAGTCCGCTCGGTGTCGTTAAGCAGCTGATAATAACCGGGCTGACTCCGACACGTGTCGGTGAACCAACCCACCGTTAGCTCCAGGCTCCGGTTAGCTTCAGCTAAAAGGCTACAGCAGCACCCTCCTCCCAGTCCCACCCTGCTAAAGAGGGCCTGGAAAAGTTCCCCCACACATCAAAGTGATTTTTCATTTGTGAGCTTTTATAACCTTGTTAATCAGGATAGTTGATTTGCTGCTGCACATAAACTGTCAGTCAGAAGCTCTGCTAGCCGGTTATCTTAAGAGGAGCTAGTTCAATTTGTTAGCTTGTTATCAGAATCATAGTTGCAGTTTCATCATCTGAGCTGCTTTTTAAGATCTAGGTAAACGTGTTCAATTTGGGGATAAAAACAAATGTTTTCCCATATTTTCCATGTAGTTATTTTGCCAGTTCCTCTTCTGAAAGGTAGACAATTGTTTTTCTCTTTCCCTCAGAAAATCTTAATATTCTCCTAGTTTGGCCCAGCACAGTTCACTTCCCAATTACAGCAACAGCCTTATATCATAACCACAGAAGTGGAGAAAATGCTCAGTAGCAATGAGAGAATTTGCTGTTGCATTTAAGTGATGTTAACTATTATTTAACACTTATTTTCAGATATTTTTATTTATTCAAAAACCCTGGTAAGGGATGTTTTTCTGTATTTGGAGCATCAGAAAAAGTTTTATGGTGGAGGTGATGTTTTAAAGTCACTGAGAAACTGCATGCATGCAGTTTGTTGTTTTGCTGCTAATACAGTAGCAGGTGCAGCTGCTAATACAGTAGCAGGTGCAGCTGCTAATACAGTAGCAGGTGCAGCTGCTAATACAGTAGCAGGTGCAGCTGCATATTTTTGCAATAAAACTGTTATGTTGTAATGGAATTCATGCATTAGTTTTTGTTTGCTTTGAACCCAGAGCAGACGTCACACGCCAGACGACATCAACACTGCATACTTTAGTATTTGTTCATTTATCGTGAGTAATATCGATATTGCAATATTAAACACTGTTATCAAATATCGCAGGTTTCCCTAATATCATGCAGCCCTAGTTCCCCCTGTTCAAAAATAAGCGCGTTCTTGGTATCAAACTGCGTCTTTAAAATTCACAGACATCACATGTGGAATCCATGGCACAAAACAAGCGAAATTAGAAAATAGCGTTTTCAGCCCCATTGACTTGCATTCATTTTTTCATTCTTCTGAGGACCCATGATGCAGAAGTGACTTAGGCTTCCTATTTGATCTCTGCTACAACTTCACTATCCTCTGGGTCACATAAGGCAAGCAGTTGCTGCTGTTCGTGAAAACTGACAAAAAAGTCCCATTTTTCAGAATGGTTTGGTGAGAACATCACGTGAGTTTCATGAGTTTTTGTTCACACAAGGTTCTGCTCTGTATTTTCACAAGATAGGTGCATAATACAAATAAAGACAAATATTTTAGTTTGTGCCTCACTATAGGGCAACATTTTCAGGATTATTGTGTAAGCCACATGTGTGTTTCCCAACGCTCCACACACCCAGGCATATGGCTTCAGTTATTGCACAATCACGGGGCTATGTGGCGTGTTTTCATAATGACAGACATCTCTTCTACATTCCTACTCTACTGGACACAAGATAAAAAACAAGACGTGGTAGCTCTGCTCTTGTGCAACATCAGCTGCAAAACTGTAAGTAAGCCCGTTTACAACGGTCCCAAATTGTTCTCACAGCTGAGCCGACAACACAGAGAAACAGGCCGGACTTCGCCTTTACTGTGATTATTTTGTGGCAATTTGGGGAAAACAAACATTTTCACAGAGGGAGTGGAAGTGATCAGGAATGGCTCCAGATAATTTATAACAAATTTAGTGAAAAATAAAATGAAATGCATGAGTGGAACAACAAAAGCAACGTTTTTAAGAAACAATCTGATGGTTCTAATTTAAAATTTAAATAACTGTTTCCATTTGGTAAAATTTAGAGCTACTTGAGTGCCTCTGGGCAACGGCGCATATATTTGAATTGAATTTAAAAAAGGCTTGCAGTTTGAATGCTCACAAAATAAGTAGCAGTTGTCGTGTGGCTCAGATGCCAAACGTTCTTTACAACCACTGCTTCAGATTATCCTGTTTAGTAGTAAAATCTGGCCTTTTTACACCCAGAACGACTCACGCTGTAAGTTTAGAGTTAGAATTTGCTTTAATTTGTTGTTGGAATCATTTAAACTGTCAAAAACATCATAAATGTCATTAAACACCATAAATCGGTATGAAGAAGATGATGTTGCCATGATCAGTAGAAGGATGTTGCTGCTAATGTAAAATCGAAAATCATTTGAGTTAGATGGTGGTTTTGCTCTGAAAACATGGTTTCAGTGTTTTTAATATTTTCCACACACATATCACAGGAAACGTTCTGCTATCTTAGACCACACTGACTCTAAATATCTCTGTCACTGATCTTTCCTGTGGCTGCAAATTTGTCACATCTATCATCAAAACAATGACGAAGCTGAACCGCTGCACCGCAGGGCATGCGTTAGCGGTTACTGCTCTCGCTACCAGCGTGACTCCAGGCTATGAGAAGCTGCCAAGAGTTTAATCCAAATCACTCAGTGGGTTGCTAAAATACATCACAGGTATGGATCCAAAACAAAGACATCCTCCCCCTTCATCGCAACCCCGACTTTCCTTTCCCCACCTCTCCTCAGCTTGTCTGAGAGCAGCTGATGAAGAACCCTCCTGAGAGAGGCAGGGTGTGGGCTTAATGGTTTGACTGGTGAAATCATGACCAATACTCAGTGGTGTGGAGCTGGAAGATAGCTGCAGTCCAGAGTGTAACTGAGAAGAGTGAAAGAAGCAGTGCAACTCCACTGTTTGTTTTTATCTCATCATGAAACTTCTCAGGTTCTGTAATAAAACGACGCGTATTTTAAATGTAAAATACTTTATTTCAGAGCAGGCGGAGCTGCAGAAAGATAAAAAACATCAAATGAGTTGCATACAAGTGGACACAATAATCTGCTAAAAGCGGTTTAATTATGCATGCAATCTGTTTATTAAACTAGTCAGGGCTGTGAAAGCTGAGGTTTTGATGTGTTGTGTTGCCATATAGTGCTTAAGCCTGCAGGATGGTATATTTGCATGCCCAGCCCTGTTTTTTTTATGTATATGAAATGAGGAGTTTGAGTTGGAATGTTATGCTCAGATTTGTAAAAACAATATATATTTAGACTTTGTTTTTAATTCCTTATCCCTTTAAATTTATGTAAAGCTGCAAAGTGCATCTTTTAAGATGGAAAATAACAAATTATTTGTATCAGAAATGTTAGTTTCTTACAGCTGGAACAAAACAAAAAACCTCCAAATCGTCCCTGAACAGAAAACTAAGAAACCTCCATTAGGGCCAACAACAATAAACGAAACCTAATACAAACACACACAAACACACTCACACTGCAAGAGACATCGGCCAGTGAAACAGGACTACCCTGCTGCTGGAGAGCAGGATGACGCACATGAAATTCCTCAGGCAGTGCAACTAACTGCAGCCACCCCTCACTTCTCCTCCTCACTCATAAGTTTCCTATGTAAACCTATACGCCACTGCCACGCAGATATCCCTGCCATGCATTCTTAGAGTGGTGGCGTTTTCCTCATCAGGAGCTGCGAGGACGCTCTCATCCCTCATGCAGAGCTGTCTGCATCTTACCCGAGAACGGATGCGGTTCTTCTTGGAGGCTTCTCGAAGCCGAGCCCACGATGCACTGCAGTTCAGACTGGTGAGCCCAAGCTCCACATCACCCCAGTAGGCTCTGGCCAAAAGCTGGAACCATAGACAGTATGGCTCGGACAGGCAGCCATCGACACCTGCCAGCCGAGCCCAGGGACAACCTCCAGATGATGAGGAGGATGAGAAGGAGCAGCAGGTTTCGGCATTCTTGTCCACATCCCGCAGATCAGGGTTATCCTTTAGGAGAACTGGTTTGCAGCCTGGAGGGAGCCCGTTCCTCTGGGCCAGCATGGCATAGCCAAGTCTGAGGTGAAGGGTCCAGCTGATGGAAGACAAAAAAACAATCCTCTAGTCCCTTTATCTTCTGTTCTTTGAGTCCGCTTCCTTCCCCGTCCAGCTCAGACTGTCCGTTCTGGTCTCAGTCTGGGGAAACTGGGCTGCTCCTCTGGACGTCCCACAGACACATGATGTGTTTCCACTCAGCTGGGAGGAGAGTGCACTGCAGAGAGCTCAGGCCGACTGAATGACGCACCCACCCACTCACCATGCAAACTCTCTGAAGTATGTGCACACACACATTTACACACACACCAGGCCGCCTCTCCTGCCTCCTTCATCTTCTCTCCTCTTCCACAGCCAACCTTTTAAAAGTTTTAGTCGTACTCTCCCTCACAGGCGTGCCTACTGCTCCGACACGTGCCAAAGTCGATCAATTATTCATGAGAACAAACAATCGGGTGAAAACGAGGATATGGTGGATGGGATAAAGCATTTGAGAAACTTTCAAAAAGTTTTAAGGAAAGGTATGAGGCAGGAGACCAGAACAGCGTACGAATGAAAGCAGACTGATTAGATGAGGAGACATATGAATACTGTGAAATCTATCAAGCAGAAAATGCACGACTAATCCACCCACCTCTAAATGTCTGCAGCTCATCTGGCAGCTTCAAAGGACAAATGTTTTAATAGCTCACATGGTGGACAGAGACCATACTATAAAGTTTAACACAGCAGATATAATTTGTAACGCTAAACTGAAATCCAGTGTTTTGACACATTTGATTGGTTTTATTTTGCATTTGGAAGCCCTTGTGTTTATTTATTGATTGTTCTTATGCGATTTTTATTCTCCCTTTAATATTTATTATGTCTATCTATGTTTTTGTCTGTGTTCAGCGCCTTGAGCTTCTGTTAAGTTTGTGGAAGGTGCTAAATAAAATTTGATTGACTGATTCATTATTCGACTAATTAGGTACAATTTACCTTTGAAAATGTTTTACCATCATTTGAACCAGTTTCACAGAAACATTATAAATTATTTCCTTATTATCTGAGCTAAAACCAATGTATGCCCAGTAGAAACATACAGTATATTTCATCCTGTAACTTTGCTAAAAGTTGGAGAAACCCCTCACAAATCAATTGGACAACATAAAAAAATCAAGAAAAAGTAACAGAATGCTATGGTTTTTCTATTGCCAGCAGTGATGTTGATATGTGTTTATGTTCAGCTGATGGCGGATATGTGCTGCCAGTTCTTTGGGCCAATTTTCTTTCCCAAAATCTTTAAGGTTTTCGCCTTATCTGCATGTTATAATGTCGTACTAATAACAACAGACACATTTTAGAACCTAATCAGTTGTCTGACTGAATTTAATCAACTGTTGAATCTTAATTTTGTGCACGTATTAAAATCAAACATTTAATTAAAGTGTTCTCCCTGTGCATGCGTGGGTTTTCTCCGGGTACTCCAGCTTCCTCCCACAGTCCCAAAACATGATAGTCAGGTTGATTGGTCTCTCTAAATTGTCCTTAGGTGTGAGGGTATGTGTGCTTGGTTGTTTGTCCTGTGTGTCTCTGTGTTGCCCTGCGATGAAATGGCTCTCTATACAGGGTGTACCCCACCTGCTTGTCCAAAGACTGCTGGAGATAAGCACCAGCCTCCCCACGACCCTGCGTGGATAAGCGGGTAAAGACGATGGGTGAATGGATGGATTTAACTAAAGTTAATCAAACAAATAAATAAACTGCCCAGAAGTTTAACACAAAAATGGTATATAATGTTAAATAAAAAGAAACGTCCATTCACAATAATAATTTAACACTCCCACTGTCTTTATGGGTGACCCCGTGAGGAGAGCTGGCCATTGAGCAGGATTGATGGTTTATCCATTGAGGAGGTCCACGTGGCAGGGGTGAGGTGGAGCTCACTCCTCACCCCTGCCACATGGACCTAAGGGATAAACCATCAATCCTGCTCAATGGTCAACTTTCCTTACAGGGTCACACCCATTAGGACATTGGGAGGGTTAAAGCAAGAATTAAGCAGATGTTAGCACTGGGCTGCCTTCTGATGTGCCTGACTTTTAAATCATAAAGTTATCGGCCAATGCTGATGTATAAAAAACCTTTAAAATACTTTTTTCATTTTTTGTATATTCATTGCGTTTTAAAAAACATTTTAAAAAACTTCCTGATATATCGGTCTATCCTTATTTCTTACAATTTTGTCTCCGTCTTGATGATCTGGATGCTTTTCTATCAACAGGAGGGCAACAAAACGCACCAGCTCTTGTCAGTCCCAGTTTTAAAGAGTACTGTGTTGCAAAGATCTTCTGATCTAGCACCCAGTCAGTGATTAAAGTATGAGTAACGGAAGACTCATAAGTTAACTCCTTTATAGTCATTTATGTGTTTTCTAATGCCAATTAGCTGTGATAGCCATCTTGAAGGAGATTGACTTGAAAGTCAATACATTTTAGATGAACACTGAGCGATTAGTTTCTGAGTTTCATTAAAACCCATCAGGTGGTTTATGAGTTATTTTGCTAACACGCACAGGCTAAAACAGGATCAGCTCTTTTTCATCTGCGGATGATAATAAGTCTGAATAAAACTGCTTTATTGACACATTTAGTTCATCTTAAAGATTAGTTTGGTTAAATAAACACCTACTTGTCAGTTTTGCAGTTCATCTCCTCTTTTAGTACTAGTAATTGTATCTTTCTGTGAAGTGGATGTGAAATGGCAAAAATGCAAATGGCATTCTATTTCGATTCTGAGGTACATCTGCCATCCGAGATGGCAGCAACCATGGAAGCAACATCAGGAACCCAGTCGTGGAATGTTCCCTCTCAGCGTTCAGTTATGTGCATCTTGTTACCACATTCGGACAGCTCAATTTAGCGTGTGGTATTCTGTACGGAAAAGATAGCAGGAATAGAAGTTGCCAGACGCTCCCGGCTGAAACACTTCACTTGTGGAAGCCAAAACAAATGTTGGGTCTCACAAGGATGGATGCCTTTGAGAACTGTGCAGTTTGTGTTTGTGCAACACAACCCCATTTGAGGTCCAATTTCCAGCCAAACAATGCTTCACCCAGACTGTTGTAAGGTTTAAAACCGCATCGTATATGTCTCTGAATTCCTGTAAACCAAAAACACGATTGGAGAGAAGATGTGCTGGCAGGGAAGTTCATTTGGTGCCATGCAAAACACAAAAACAAGACAGGCCACCCAGGATGATTGTGCTGTTACCGTGGCAACAAACATGACTACAATGACGTGTCCGCAGAAATGGGGCCATCTTTGTGGGCGCTTGTGTGATTTCATGGTTTGTTTGTGCGACCGTGTTTCTGTAAATTCAGCGCGGCTAAAGGCGTCGTGAAGGACGGCAAACAGGATTTGAGGTTTGAGACGAGCCGCAAAGATCACTGTGTAAGACTTTCTTTTATGTAAACTCTGGTTGAGGATGTACACACACCAGATTATAGGATGGAAATACTTTCCACGGCTCAATGTGCAAGTACACCAGAAAAAGAGGGAAAGGTTTTACATGTAAGCTCTCTGGACTGGAGAAAGTGGGCTTTGTTTCAACGCCAAAGAAAAATCTGCTGCTGCTTCAGGGATAATTCAATTCATCCCAGGTATTATAGCTGAAGAACAAAGTAAACAGAGGAGTCAGGTTCTGAAAAATAGCAAAAAAACAAAAACCTTTTAAATTAGCAAAAACTGTGGTAAAGAGATGCTCATTGGCTGTTTCAACGGACAGGGTTTTAGTAGGAGTTCTTCCTGGATGTTCCTCTACATCAACACGCCTGCTTCACTGGTTAATTTGCCTCATTAGCATGTCCTAAATTCTGCAGAAGACTATTCACCAACTGAATTACGATTAGGTGTGTTGGAGCAGAGAAACTTTTATGGCTTGCAAAATAGTGGCCCTTGAGGACCAGAAAACAACCTGTCCCAAGGAGTCAAATAGACTTCTGTCAACCCCAAATGGTTTATTAAGAGCACAAGTATCCAAAACCAAACGCGGGTCTCTGGTTGGGGTCCCAAACAAATTTTTTTTATTATTATTAGGGTTCATTGAGTGCGTCTTAACTCCAAATTAATTCTGAAAACAGAAGAGATAAATATTTGGATTAGGGATGCACCGATACCGATACTGGTATTGGTATCGGTGCCAATACCGATACCAATACCAGTATCTGTAAAAGTTAACCGATACCAATGCAGTTGCTTGGAAATGGCTTCACTGTAACTTGTCATTTCTGTTCACCTAATATTGTAATTTTGTGATGATTTCCATTCATATATTTTACATTTTATCTACCTCACAGTCTTTTCCTGTTGAAAGCAGAGAAGAAAATAGAATCTGTTTTCCAAATCATTGCATTTTTTTGTGTAGTAGAAGTATTGATATTGGTAATCTATATCGGCGAGTACTCAGATTCAAGTATAGGTATCGTATCGGTTTGGGAAAAAAGTGGTATCGTTGCATCCCTAATTTGGATGCAAATTTTACTTTTTCAATAATTTGGTAAATGTTGAAAATAAATCATTTTTAGGGGAAAATGTGAAGTCCTAATAAACCTTGTTTTTGGTCCACTTAAAGCATAAACCAAAACAGCAGGTTACCGGCTGGTCACGTTTAAACACACACTAAAACAGCTCCTTAACACAGGTGAGGGAAGTTCTTTGAAGAGGTTTATGAGATGACACAAAGGTACAGAGACTAAGCAACACCATCCATCCAAGAAAAGCAACAATAACAAGCCTAACAAGTGTGAACAAGTTGACAGAAATCAACTGTAACATGGTTACAAACGCCTGTGAAATTCTACTGGTGCGTGTAGAAGGCGGTACTGTGAATACTGATTAACAGGCTCATTGCTGCTTGTGGATCTGCATGTTGCCCTGACATCGTACATTTTAAGACCCTTTCTTTAATTCTGAATGAGCCAAAACACCTCACAAAATGAAATTGTTAAAGATGAAATGGTGAGTTGACACGCCTACATGACATGTCTAGTTTTTCTTTGAACAAGTTGAAAGGTCTGGTGGCGTTTTGTCTTTTACATTTCTAGCTACAGACCTGCATTCACAACATCTATAGAAAATCCCACGTCTTCCAAGATTCCTTAGTTGTAAAACTCATTTCAGATGTTTACATTTCTGGAGGAAACAACACAATAAAAACCAGGTTGTTTCATCCTCTAAAAGTCTTGGATTTATTAGACGGCTATCAGCACGTCTGATTTGTGTAACAAAGAGAAAGAGGCCTGTGGTCTGTAAGCAGCTGACAGGATCTCTGGACCAGGATTAAAGACACACCACAGCGACTGGAATCCAAAAACTACAAAAAGTAATTCTGAAGTCTCCAGTTGGTGCTCTTGTGTGGACATCTTTGTGTGTCTGTAGCGGCCAATGTTTTGTGTCTGTGTGTGGTGCAGGGAGTCAAAAAAGGGAACGTCTTGGAGTAGGATTAGGCTTGATTCAGGGGTGGCTTTTCAGGACTGCTGGTGGGTGTAAGCCCTAATCTGGACCTGCAGCATCTGAGCACTGTGAGGCCTTGCTTACTGTAACAAAGACGCAGCTAATGAGGGCCACTGTGTGGCTTCACACCCATACAACCATTCCTCATATATCCCACAACTGAATACTGTGTAAAAGTAACAGCCTACCAGTGTTTACTATACGCAGAAGACTTGATCTAGTTTTAACTCAAATAAAAGCCGCAATCTGACTAGGAGCCAATGACTGAGTCACCTACAAGAGCTTATAGTAACTTTATTTTTCGTGTCCTGTCTGGCTGTGTCGCAAACAGAATTAACGTCTGAATGCTGGTAACAAGCCTTACAGATTTTACTCTCAGGTGGAGCATCAAAGCGTCTCCTTTTAATGTCACGCCTGATACTTAAAACTTTATTGTTGTTTTTTGAATGCTTTGTAATTTCGACCGGACACAGAGACAGTGGTGAAAGAGAAAGGAAGAGACAAAAGGTGGTGGTGGTTGGGGATGGGGGGGTCCACGAAAATAAACAATCAATGATGAACAAGAGTCTGCTTCTAGACCTGCAGAAAAGGGACACACAACAATACAACAGGAGCAAGCTATCACTACATCAACTTGATGAAGAAATGTAAAACCAACATCGTTTTACTGAACAATCACACGATAATAAATCACAGTGCATTTAGTGCCAACCACAGACTTAAGACATGTGTTGAACGTGCCCAAGTCCATACTTATGAGAGCACCATGTGAGCACCTGTGTGTGTGCACGCGCTCTATAGGAGCATCCAATAGAGAGTGTGAGGGGCCACAGATCTGCCCCCCAAAGATGTGTAGGAGATGGAGGGAGCTCCAAGTCCCAGAGATCCAGGAGCTGCCCCAGAGCACAGGGACCCCAAGGAGACTGCGACCAGAAAATCCCCTGCCCCCCTCAAGAGGCGCAGAGGATCGCCTCGGGGGGCCACAACCAGCAGCCGGTAAGCCCACAGGCCCGCCCGAAGCTTCCTCCCCCCAGCCGGCCGAGCCCGGGACCCAACAACCCGGGACCCAGGGGTGACCACCCAGATCCCACCAGGCAGCCACCAAGACTGATCAGGCAGATGCCAAAAATCTTAAACCCCCTGACCCGGGAGCCAGGAACACTCAGGCAGACCAAGGCACCACACTCCACACCAGGTGTGGCAGGGGGAGGGGAGACGAAGATGTATAGCATCAAAAGAAGTCCCAGGAGAAGGGAGGAGTCAAAGGCCCCACCTGACATATGCAGTCATACACAGACACAGTTGCACACTCCCTCCCTGATGCTCACACATACACATACTCATGCTCCCCATACACACCCTATTCACTCTGGTCCCGGTACTGCTGCACATGGGGTACAACCATTACCGGTTCACAGAGTTTGACCCTTTCTGCTGGGGTGCTGATGAGCAGGCTCCCCCGCCCAATGCTGAGCAAAGCAACCCACCACCCCAGACCCCAACCAGACAGCCAGATCTCCCTCCTAGCTTCCAGCCCCGGGAAGCCAAGTGACAGAGGTGTGCTAACACCCCTAGTCTCCCTCCGCCTGCTCCAATATTGTGTTAGTGCGTGTTGATGAGATGTATTCCATGGCTGTGGTGAGCGGGCAGTGTGGGCATCGTCTGGCCTATGCCAGCTGATGCCACCACACTACCCCACTGGCAACCACAGCCCTCAGTGTCTAAGTGCAGTTTAAAATTGGAAATGGGCACTGGCACTTGGGATGAGGCTGAAAAATCCTCCTGCCAAATAAGAACTTCCAGTTAACTCTATTAAAAGCCTTTTCTGCATCTAGAGATAATATACTAGTTTCTATGTTTCTACTGTAAGAGACATCTATCAAATTAAGTAAGCTACGCGAGTTTGTGGATAACTCTCTACCCTTAATGAAACCAGTTTGGCCAGGGTGTATTATGAAGGGGGTTACTGTCTCTAATCTTTTTGCCAGGGCTTTACAAATTATTTGGAGATCAACATTAATAAGAGAAATTGGGCGATAGCTGGTAGGAAACGCAGGGTCTTTGCCTGGTTTTAACAAGAGACTAATATTGGCTGAATTCATGTTCGGCTGTAATATGCCACTCTCTTCGATTTCCATCACCATTCTGAAGAACGTTGGAGCCAGAATGATCCAGAATTCTTTGTAGAACTCTGCTGGAAACCCGTCTGGACCTAGAGCCTTCCTATCAGGCATGGATTTAAGGGCTTCCTGGAGCTCAGCTGATGTTAGTGGCAAGTCCAGGATTGTAGCTTGGCTGTCTGATGATTTAGGAAGCGTTATCCTGTCAAGGAACTCATTGATCTCATCATCTGATGGGCTTATCTGTGGTGAGTACAAAGTTTGGTAAAAGTTTTTGAAAGTGTTGTTTATTCTTTCAGGATCATAAACTATATTCCCGGTTAAGTCTTTAACAGCAGATATGGTGGTTTTCTCTTTATTTATTTTTAATTGGCTAGCTAAACATTTACCTGATTTATTACTATGTTCAAAGTTTTCTATTCATAGCCTTTGTGGTAAATATTGTGTCTTTTTGTCAATAATTCCATGAAGTTCTAATTTAGGTTTACGTAATTTGCTCATTAACTCTTCTTCTGTGGATGCCTCTAAAGACTTAATGATTTCCTCTAACTCCTGAATACGTTTGTTTTCTGTTTTTTTCTTATGTGATGAGAAAGAGATTATTTTACCTCTCATCACTGCCTTTCCTGCCTCCCAGAGAACAGATGCTGATGTTCCAGGCAGGTCATTATGTTCTAAATATAAAGCCCACTCCTTTTCAAAAAATTCTATAAAACCTTAATCTTTAAGCAGTGATGTATTAAACCTCCAGTTTCTGCTTGGTGGGATTGTCTTTTTGTTTACCAGAGTTAAAGAAACCGGCGCATGGTCGCTGACAACTATGGGGTGTATCTCAGTGTCTGAAATGTTAGCAAACAATGAGCTGCTGACTAGACAATAATCCAAACGTGAATGAGAGTGATGGACATGCGAAAAAAAGTATACTCTCTACGGTTAAGATGAAGAGATCGCCATGCATCACAAAGCCCATAATCACTCATGTACTGTTTAACTATATTAGTGGATTGCCAACTGCGCTGAGTACCAGCTGTACTGAGCCTGTCTGTTAAAGAGTTCATCCAAAAATTAAAATCGCCTCCAAGTATAAGTGGACAGTCCAAGTGTTCGGAGAGTACAGAGAAAAAATGATGAAAGAATGAAGGGTCGTCAATATTTTGACAGTATATGCTGACAATACATAAGCTTTGATTCTGTACAGATATTTTTAACATTGTAAATCTACCCTCTGGATCAGAGACTCTGTCCAACACTGTAAAATTGATGTTTTTGTGTAATAAAATAGCTACACCTCTTTGCCTAGAGTTATAGCAGGCAGAGAACATGCTGGGAAACTCAGGTGTTTTAAGTTCATCTGCGGATGTGGCAGATCTATGAGTCTCTTGTAATAATTTTACGTCTGCTTGCACTCTTTTTAACTGATCAAAAATCTTTAATCTTTTCTCTCTGGAGTCAGCTCCATGTACGTTCCATGAGACAAACATTAGTGCACCCATAGATGTGTGTGTGAGTAACTAGAATATGATGCCTTCATGTGAATAAGATGGAATAAGTAACTAAATGTATAAAATAATATGTTAATGTTAATGTTCTCACCCGGGTCACAGACTTTTTGAGCCGCTTCCCTCGGGCAGGAGGTTACGGTCCATCCAGACCAGAACCTCTCGCCATAAGAACAGCTTCTTTCCATCTGCCGTTAGACTTGTGAACAGCTTATAAACACACAACCATGCTCGTCTTCGGTACTTGACATAACGTCACGTTATCGGCCATATTACCTTTACCTGCCATTTTTTATAGCAAAGTTTTATGCTAGTTTATTATATTTTATTCTACTTTATTCTATTTTTTAATTATATTATTCATGTTATATGTAGCACGTTAGTACCGAAGCAAGTTCCTAGTTTGTGAATTGTTTGTTCACTGACAATGGCAATAAACCTTTTCTGATTCTGATTCTGATAACAGAAAAATAAGTAATAATAATAATAAAGACCCAACAGTGTTTGTGGTTGTATTATGAGATGCATAAATTGTGATATTGTGCTGTAGATTTAGTGTGTGTGTGTGTGTGTGTGTGTGTGTGTGTGTGTGTGTGTGCCTGTGCGTGTGTGCTGTGCCTGTGTCAGTGTTTGTGCCTTTCGTTATGTCATTTTATACTGAAATACTTGCTCATGGGCAGTTTTGGGGATTAATTACATGCCTTAATAAATACCAAGCAGTTTGAGATTAGAACCCACTAACAACACAATCAATCACTTTTCTGCAGGCTTCGGATTTAAGGAGGAAGCTGGTGCATGCTCTTTTTTTCAATACGAAAGTCACTCAACTTGAACACAAATCACGACACAACGACTACAAAAAGACTTACTCCCAGTGAGTCATGCCCACCACATTTTCATGATTAAGTGCATCACTCCTGTTCCACTGGCAAAAACAATCCCTGAAATTCACACTTTGCTATGGAAACCAGAACACAAGAAAAGGCACAACAGATCTGAACTTCCAGGAGAGAAAAATTCTGGGGATTTCCATCTAGCTGCATCTAGGTACTGGAAATTCACCTAAAACCTAACAGAGAGGACAAAAGGATAAAACCATGATGTAGGGAAGGGGGTTTGTGATCTTGTGTATTTGTGAATTCCTGTGAGGGAGCCTGCTTGATTTGGATAATTGTCTCCAGTGGTCCCTAGACACCTTCAGACAAATGCCACTGCCAATCAGGCATTCAGGAGGAGGCTCATTCACTCCTCAGCAGCTGCTCTTGCCACAAAAGCTGCAAATATGTTTCTAATGGCATTTCTACTCACTCCCTTGAACTGGTTATTTCAAAATGTTGCATCACTCTGCGTCCTCCAGACATTTTCCCCTCAGGGGGACGTCCGAGTGGCTCAGGAGAGGGGAGATGACAAAGGGACCACAATCATCAGAAAATGCTAAGGAAGCCACATTAATCCTCCTGTCAGGCTGACACAATGATGCAAGATAAACCTAAATATGGTCACCCTTACTGCCTCGACACCTAAAATGTAACACAGGATACTCACCTAACAATTTACCTAATAAATTACTATGAAACAAAACACACTCCAATTTTACCACTCCTGTGTGACTCTTTGAAGGGGTGCTACATTTATAAATCAATGTATTTATAAATCTTCAAAAATGTGATCATTGCTGTTAATATAAAATATGAGGTTGTTGAGCTGTGTGAGTTCCATACCTTGTGCTAAGAGATACTGGTAACACTTTTTAGCCCTTGGATTTCTTAGTAGTGTTAAAAACAGAAAACACTTTTTTGATCTATTGGGTTTGGGTTTTTTCTTGACAGGCAGGTAATTTATTTTCATTTCATACAATAAAAACAGTTATGAAGATGATACTGTTCTTACTTTAAAGTGT